GTACAATTTCTTATACTAGATTTAAAAAAATAAGCTAAAAATGGCTTAAAGACTTAAATATAAGATCTGATTCCCTGAAATTCCTAGAAGAAAACATAAGTAGTAAACTCTTTGACATCAGCCTTAGCAATATCTGTCTGGATATGTCTCAGGAAAGGGAAACAATAGCAAAAGTAATCAAATGGGACTACATCTAAATAAATAAGACATTTTTGCACAGTAAGGAAATTGTCAAAGTAGCCAGCCTGCTGAGTGGAGAAAATATTTACCAATATTTTCAATAATGAGTTCATATCCAAAATATGTAGGAAACTCATTCAACTTAACATTCAAACAACCCAACTTAAAATTGAGCAGGGGGCTTGAGCAGACATTACTCTAAGGAGGACATACAGATGGCCAACGGGCATATGAAAAGATGCTCAACAATAGTCAGCAGGGAAATGCAAATTAGAACTACAATGAGATAATCACCTCTCACCTGTTACAGTGGCTATCGGTCAGTGCTGGCAAGGATGCAGATGCCCACCATGTTGATGGGATTGTAAACTGGCACAGCCACTACGGAAAACAGTACGGACATTCCTCAAAAGATTCAAAATAGAGTTATTTACTATATGGCCCAGCTATTCCACTTCTGGGTGTTTGTCCAGAGAAAACAAAATTAATTTTTAAAGATATATGCAGCCTTATGTTCATTGCAGTATTATTTACAGTGGCCAAGATATGGAAGCAACCTAGGTGTCCATTGATAGATGATTGAATAAAAAAAATAAGGTTAATATATACAATAGAATGTTATTCAGCAATAAAGAGAAATAGGATGACATTTTGTCATTTGCAACAATGGGTGGGCCTACAGTGCATTATGCTAAGTGAAATAATGTTCAAGTCAAAATACCATGTGATTTCATTTATATGTGGAATCTGAAAAATACAAAACAAATGAATAAAGGAAACAAAACAGACACAAACCCACAAATACAGGGAATAAGCTGAGGGTTGCCAAAAGGAGAGGGATTTGGGATGGTAGGTGCATTGAAATAAAAGAAATAAAACATATAATTGAAAAGAATGAGATACAGCATTGTAACACAAACAAAATGTCCATATACATGTAAGATTTGACTATCCCTTAGACTTCTTTGGAGACACTACTGCTAGGATGTATAAGGCGACATGCAGAGGAGGGTATGTGAAGGCAGGAGAATACATTAGAGCCCTTGTATCGTTTTCTAAAAAGCATATGATTGGGAGTCTGTATAGGATAATGTCACCAAAAATTATTACATACCAGGAAACTACTGTCAAAAGAAAACTGTCCCTCATCTATTGGCTAAATAAAGAGGATAAAATAAAACCAAAGTACAAATTAGAATAATAGTCCTTTTAAGATCATTAAGCATCATTTAAATTATGGTGAAGCCCAGCCAGTTTGGCTCAGTCGTTGAATGCCAACCTATGAATCAGGAGGTCATGGTTCCATGCCCAACCAGGGCACATGCCCCAGTTTTCGGGGGGGCGGGGTGCAGGAGACAACCAATCAATGATTCTATCATTGATGTTGCTATCATTCCATCTCCTTTTCTCTCTAAAATCAATAAAAATATTTTTTTTTAAAAAACCTTTTTGTGATAAAAAGGCCACAAAATTTAAGTACTCTGGTACATTTTTCTATTTCTTAGCTTCTGGCTAAGAATACTAACAATAGGACCCCAAACTGGTCAGAAATGGGCCCCATCTACATGCTACTTCCTTATCCGTCCAGTTTCCGTTCTCAGCTGATTCTCGCACTTTCAGTCTGGGAGTGCACAGCCCTTGACCTGTCCGCTACTGCCGCCGTCCCGTTGTGTGTGTCTTGACTGTGCGCTTCCAGAAACCAGCTGCCGTTTGTTTACAGTCCTACTTTTCCTTATTTGCAGTGAATACTTTTCTCACTAATGCATGGTTTTCTTTGTTCTAGTTATATCATTCCAGGATAAGTACGAGCTTGCCATGTTCATTTGAATCCTCTGCACAATTTATGTATTTCAATTAATGTGACTAAATCGGTTTGCTTCCTTAAAAATATTTAATGACTTGTTATAATGTAAACCTGTTTTTAACATTAGGTTAATAATGCCTGGTGCAGTAGCTGTGTGATTTTTTTTAAGCCGCCTGCTTACATGAATGTCACAGGGTTTAGGGGATTAACTGTATGTAGTGGCCCGGGCAGGTGGTTGGCAGAATAGTGACCTGAGACAACACAACAGCAGAGAGATTAAATGAATGTGGACATTTTTCTAGTTGGGTCTCAAATTCTGGAGCATGCAACAAACTCTTCAAATATTGTAAACAGAAAACTAATAAGAAACAAAGATTTTGTAGTTAGTGTGGAGAGCACCTCTATGAGACTGAGACCCACCCCAGAAAAATGGGAGAAGTCTTCCCTCCGTGCAGAAGTCAGGATGCATCTGCAGACGTGCAGCTTGTCCTACAACAGGTTTCTGAGACATTACTGCATGCATTTAATATGTGCACTGCGTGTTCCCTTGGAGCCCAAGGTGCTAGGGCCCAAGGCCCTTTCTCCTCTCCACTGTGTTGCCCTGTGAAGGAGTTTGCATTATTCACCTCAGGATCTTAAGATTCTAACTTAGATTAGCTGCTGGCACCACGTTCCTCTTTCCAGTTCCAAAGAATCAGAGAAGTCATAATGTCTGGAGCTAACTGACAGCTTTCCTTCGACTCTGTCCTGCCATTGATTTTACCCCCGTTATTATGCCACTCTTCCTTTTGATTTGTTACCCCTATTTTATTCAGCCCTTTTCCCTTCCTCTGTTCAGCACCTACCTAACTGGTGAGAGCCACAAAGAAGTAAAATTTATTTCTCTATGAGAAGAAGAGATGAGAGAAAGGTTTGCTTTTATCATCATAAGGTATCTGTTTCCTGTGTGTGTCTGTTCAGATGTCCTTTCTTTTGAAAAAATGTTGAGTGAATATGTAGATGTCAATAACCTCAGCTAAGATGTGATGACAGTAAACATTAACGAGAACACCGAGACTCCAGTCTCCATTGCTAAATTACCGATTTAATGCCATTCCAGTTTTAATGCAAAGTGGTGTGGACTGGCAGGCTTTGATTTGAGGTGGGCTCAGTAGAGTAATGGTCCCTTGTCCTTTTAGCAGACTGCTTCCTCTCCCCTCCAGCAGCTGTACGTCCATACATGAGGACTTTTTTAGCCCAATGGGAAATTATCATAGAATTTGTTCATGTTGAGTGCAGGGAAAGTTTCCTTTTAGTCAGAATACACTTTACTTAATTTTGCAAGTGTGTTCAGGTCTAGCTTACAGATATTGACTCCCTGAAGGCATTTGTCTCTCTCTTGGCCAGAATAGTTTCAGTGTAGGAAAGAGAAAGCAATTAAAAAATCAGATTTTGGAATGTTTTCATTTGTATTGCCTTAAGCCCTATGAACTCCGCCCACCTTTGTCTGAATGACATGAACTGCAGGTGTCCCTGTTTGTGGCAGAACGTGTCTCCACTTAACAGGGGGAGAGGGAGGTGTGTATTCAACACCTCTAATGTAAGGCCCAGGAACTTGGGGCAGACTCTACCCAGTGGGGAAGGCAACTTGGTAAAAGCAAAATGGTGTCTGATCCCCAGGCAAAAGGGAGTCACATCCCAGTTAGGCAGCTGTGCCTCCCAGCACTCCTGTCTTCCTGGTCTCAGGATTCCTTTGAGGCTAAGCCAACCAGGACTGTCCTTTTCCAACTGCCCTGAGCTTCATGGCCTCTGTAAACAGTTGAAATTAATTGAATGAAGGGCAAAGTAACTGATTAGTAATTGGGTTTCAGATTTTTATCTTCAGGTAGCTTCACTGTTATTATATCAAGTGTTTTTTAGACATTTGTGAATTCTTTTTATCTTTTCACATATTGTAATTATATTTCAAATGATTTTTAAAGAAGCTTACAGAAAGTGAAACGAATTGACTTAAACACAGAACATAGAAGTGGAGTTGGAGAATTCAGTGACAGACAGGCCTACCCATTGCCTCCCTCCTCACAACAGTCCTCAGGACCTTGCTCGGTCCCAAGGGCAGTCCTGTGACAGTGGTGTTCACAGAGGGGGCCTCCCACCAAGAGAAAGAGTCATGTGTGCAGACCAGCCTGGAGCTCCTGCCCTGGGTAGGCGCCCCTGAAGTGCCCGCTGTGGGAACAAACTGGGACTCACTGCCTGGGCCATCTTAGCTTTGGTCTGTCTGCTGGGGTGCAGTCACTGAGGCAGGGTCCAGGCTGCATTTTCCAGTGTGATACTTGGTTATTAATAGTTAACAGTTCCATTTTAATAGTTAATCCCGCTGTGGACTTCAAAAGTGGCTAGTCCAAAGCAAGATGTGCTGGAAGTGTCAGATGCACACCAGATTCCCGAGTTAGCACACAAAACGTAAAATCGTGGCAAACGTTAATATTTTCATCGTATTGGGTTAAGTAAATATATATTAAAATTTATTTTCCTGTTTTCTTTTACCTTTTGAATGTGGCTTTTAGAAAATTTAAAATTGCCCCAATGACTCACGCTGGGTTAGAATAGCAGCTTTCAGGCAGATGTCTATTGCTACAATAATATTGTGATGGCAACTTCAGTTCTGTAGGAACATCTCTTATGGGAACCCGTGGTTTCCTTGACAATGTGGGTAGAAGGCATTATTGAACAGGAATGCTGATGGAATTGTCACCTTTTTAAAAGTTTCATCTCAGAGGTAGACCTAAAAACCTGCTATATTAGGAGAACACGATTCTCCTGTCTTTCCCATTGGCCCTAAATATAATTTATGAGATATTTACCAAGTACTTTATGTGCAGCTGCTCTAATTCTTGTTTGCACGGAGTAAATAATACAGGGATAGAAGAGGGGGTTCTGCTGTTGAATTGTCCATTTTCTAAGTAGGCTTCTGAATTTAACTTCCGTACTTAAAACTAGGTTTGTCTCTGATGCTACCTCTTTATCTTGCTTTTAGGGAAACAGAAGGCACTGCAGCCTACAGCACATACCAGAATAAATCAAGCACTCCAGCACAGCAGATACTCTGATTGGCTTTCCAGAAGCTCCATCACTGCATCTTTTTCTTTTCAAACGTCAAGACCCACATTTAAATTCGTATGACTACTATGCAAAACAGCCCTCAACTGTCAGAACTGGAGCCACCTATGATCTTACGGGAATTTATCTGAGTAAACAGAAAGCACTATGTGGGCGAGAACCTGCCCCCTCCCTCTTTGTAGCAGCATTATTTACAATAACGAAGACAAGGAAACAATCTGAAGTGTCCGACACCCGATCGGTGGATACAGGAGATGTCTGCATGCACAGTGAAACACTATTCAGTCATAAAAAAGGAAATGCTGCTATTTGCAGCGTGTATTGGCCTTCAGGACATTTTGCTAAGTGAAATAAGTCATCCATATGGAGAGACAAATACTATATGATCTCCCTTATATGTAGAATCTATTTAAAATAACTCATCAAAGAAGAAATCAGATTTGTGGGTGCCAGGGGTGGCTGGTGGGCTGAGGGTATTGGATGAAGGTAGTAGTCATAAGGTTCAAACTTAGGTTATAAGCATGTATTGGAGCGTAACATACAGCATGGTGACTCTAACTAGTAATGCTTTATTGCATACTGGCAGGTTCCTAAAAGAAAAGATCTTAAAAATTCTGATCACAAAAAAAAAGTTTTTTGGTAACTATGTGAGTTGATATTAACTGAAATTTGCTCATCATTTCATAATAGACACATTATCAAGTCATGCTGTACACCTTAAACTTCAGTAACGTTACAATCAATTACACCTCAAACTACAAGGGGGAAAGATCTACAAAGGCGTTCTCTGGTTTATTTCACTGTCGTGAATGCAATTGTGCAGGTATAATGCTAACATCCCAATGCTGCTCAAATATAGTTACTATCCTTGGACCCCTCTGAAATGGGTGTGAACTTGGGGATGAACATCTGGCTGTATTCCCTTAAAGAAAACTTGCATTTATAGTGCAATTCAACACTGTGTGCGTGGTAGGATTGTGGTAGGGCAATGATGTTTTTTTATAAAATCTGTATATTTTGGGAAGTATAGTTCAAGATGAGACATTTCATCTATAAAGAATATGATTTTGCAATGTTCTTTTCTAATGTGAATACCACTTTTTATGACTTATTCTTTCAACAACTCAATTATATGTATTATAGTTTATTATAAAAAGTCTGTACAAATATGTGTGTACTACTTCAGTCCTTAAAAATTAAAAACAATATCACTGAAAACCGTGTAAGCTTGACCTCCTTATCTAAGAATACCATTGGAAAGTAATATTACAGGGGATTGGGTAAATTTCTATTTTTCAAAATATATTTTAACTTCTTGGTGATTTAGAGAAGCCATGAAGTTAATGTCTGGCATTTGTTCTCCGCCTTTTCTAACAGTAACAAACCAGTGCAAGAATTAATAACAATTTAGGCTCAGGTGCATCTGTGAAAAGATAGAGGGTGCTAACAGGAATGCCAGCTTGGTACAAAGTGAACACTGGCCTTTCTGGGGAGAATTCCCCTCTTTAAGAGGCATAGAATGCGCTCTGAATTCTGGCCTAGGGGGGTTCTCTCCTGACTTGAATAAAAAGCTATCTCACTTAAGTCATCTGCCAGGAGGCAGTTTTGTAGGGAGTAAATCCACCAGATTATACCAAGTTGCATCAGAATTAGTCTTTGTGTGGGGCTCACCTCACCTGCTGAAAGGCAGAGTAAACGTTAGCCACCTATTTCAGAAAAGGAAACCAAACTCTGTGTTGGACGTTGGTCCTCTGCAGGGAAGAAAAATCATGGAGCTCAGGTGAACCAGATCCTCCCTCTCTGAGTCCTCACGCCTGGCAGGGTCTCTTTCCAATGAGCCATGCGCAGAGAGGAGGGGCTGCCGCTCTCATTCTTAAAGGGAGTTTTTTCTTTTTTTTTTTTTTTTACATTTTTATTTTTAATAGCACAAATTGGACTCAAGAAATGTTGCCGGAAGAGGGACATGTTTGGGAAGTCAGAGTGTATCGGAACTAAATACTATTTTACTCTATAAAGTGTTCCTTCTCTCTGTAATCTCTCATGAGGGACATTTTTTAACCAAAGATTGTGATGCTTCTCAAATTTAACTTTTATAATAGTGCTTCAAGTTTACTCTTTTTCAATTATATATATATATATATATATATATATATATATATATATATATATATACACACACACACACACACACATATATACACACACATAAATACGTTGTCAAATTCTGTTACTGAAATATATGGGGAAACAAGTTTTCTGTAAAAATTTGTTGAAATGACAGAGAAGGAAGTATATTTGAATGAAATGTTTCGTAAAACTGGAAGGATGTATTTGCATTGAAATGGGAAGCCCTATAAATGGAGGGTTTTTTGTTTTTTTTCTGTAAAATTTGTCCTTACAATCTGATAAAATAAAAAGTAGGGTGAAGTTCGTTTTGTGTCAGTGTGCTCATTTCCAGGGTGCATGATTTGAAATCAGAGTAAGCTTCTAATGAGTTCCCACCCTCTCTAACCTTTCCATTCTCACAGTCATGACTCCTGCTCCTCCCATCTCACACCCTGACATACATCCGGGCTTCTCCACTTCCAGCCCATCACCTGCCTCTCCTGCTCACAGGTGTCCATGATACCTACAGCAGAAGTCCCAAGTTCCTCAGCATGATGCTCCAAGACTTCCTACAATTAAATCCCAAGTTTTCTCCCCAAGGCTCCTCTTTCTGCTGCATTTCTCTAAGCAACATCCTGGTAGTCAAGCTGTGCCATCTGCCCTGTGCTGGATTCCTCCTTCACTGGTGCCTGAGAGGCCTGTGGTCCTGTCAGATCCTGGGCATCTTCCAGGGCCAGCGCCTCATGCCCATCGGGCAAAGCTTCTCCCGATTTCTGCCCAGATGTCCTATTACCCAGATGAGGCAACCACATCTGAGTATCCATAGACACTGTCTGCTAGGAGACATACCTTCCACATGAGTTGAATGTGTGGCTAGGTACTTCAATCCCAAGTCCATCAATAAAATTATAAAGTTTGATTTGTGTAACTATGAAGATGTTTTTTTATTTATGCAAAAACTCTTATGATAGATCCTCCTTTCCCCAAACTGATGGACAAAGTATGATGTAATCTGTACCTGCAGCACAGACATTCCTGAGCACCTAACCAGGCACCTTATATGGACTGTACATTGAACCACTGGTCAGCACCTGCCAAATACCCTAAGCCCCTATTCCTAAGTGCCTAATCATGTGCCTTACATGAAACCACCACTTAGGGTGTGCTGAGTGCCCTAAGCCCCGTCCCTTCCTTTTCCTCCCCTCAAAAGGCATGTTCACTCTGGCAGGGTCTTCTCCAATAAATCCTGTGTCTTGGTATCCTGGTCTCGGCCCTCTGTTTCATCTTTCATATTGGTGCCAAAAACCAGGACATGTGGGAATCTCATCACTTCCTTCTAACTCATAGGCTTCAGGGATCTTCCTGACCCCCCTCCTGCACTCCCCACCCCCGTTCCCTTGACCTGGAAGGGCCTCAGGGTTTTCCCATCTATTCGGCTACACGTTCTACATTCTATGTTCTACGAAAGCCCAGGTACCTGGCCCTGAAAACGTCTACTCCACGGGAAAGGTCTCGGTGACGACCTTGGAACCTTCTCTCGTTTCTTTCTATAATACAAGTTGGCTGGGGGAAAAGAAGGACACTTCTTACTCCTTCCCCAGCTTCTCAGTGGCCCTTTCCCTCCGGTCAGGGGAACCTCTCAATCCAAACCCCTTCGAAGCACACCCTTAGGGTGTCTCCTCGCCATCTCTCAACCCTTGGTCTTTCTGGCTACATCAAACCAAAAAAGCTCATTTAAAACAGCACATTTGATTCCAATATCCTCTGAGATCTAGATAATTTTTGTCACCGGACAAGGAAGCCTCAGATTCCTACGAACAGGCTTCCTATCCTTCCTCTCCCCCCCTCCCTCGCTTTACTCCTCATGTTCCACCCATCAGATCCTCCTCTGGAAGCCCTCTTTGCCCTCTCAAAACCCTTTGTCTTCTGACTCTTTCAACCCGGTGGATCATCTCTCTCCATGTGTCTCACTCCCACCACCTCCTTACAATCCTAAACCTGTCCCTCACTGACTAAGCACTCTTTTTCCCAGGTCAGTGCCAGCCGACTCCAGGAGTACGGTTAATCATTTTTTTTTTTTTTTTTCCCTTAACACATACTGGTCTCGCCCACTGACCTATGTAGCCCCTGCTGGTCCCTCACTGATTATGGGAGGCAGGATTGGGCATTTCTACCTCTGAGGATTCTAAGCGCCCGCCTTCCCCTGTGCTCTCCGCCTAATCTCCGCTCCTGTGGCCTCCAGCAAATGAATTCACAGGTGGCTGGCCATTTCCTTTCTCACTCTCTGATCTTTTTCAAATTGAAAAACGCTTAGGCTCTTTCTCTTCAGACCTTCTTAACCAGCAGCTGCCTTCTCTCTCCCCAGTCCCTGAGGGCTCAAATCCTGAGCTCCAAAACAGCCTTTCCCATCTGTCACTCATCCTCAGGCCCAGAGACTGCCTTCCTCATCAGCTTCTTCTATTCAGGTCCACTCTACCCTTGAGGGAGGCAGCAGGAACTGAGGGCGTGGTCTGAGTCCACATTCCATTCTCTATGTCCAGCCTCATAGGTTGAGAGGCCTCTCAGGTTTCTTTTTCCACTGACCTGACCACCTTTACTTCCCCAACATACGCTGCAACTTCAAAAATAGATGCAGATCCACAAACCCCTCAAAAAGACCCTGTTAACCTGACATTTAAGGTCTTTAATGATAGAGACAAGGAGACCCAAATCCAAAATCAAAGGCAAGATCAGGCCAAAGCTGAGGCCCAGTAGGAGGCCTTCCAGTTCCTAGCCACCGCTCTCAGAAACCCCAAACGAAGTGCCAGTCCAACTGCGGGTAAGTCAGGGGCTAAGCCTCCTCCGGCCCACGCTTCAAATGCAGCAAGGAAGGACACTGAGCCAA